CCCAGATTAATTGAGGACGTATTATCTAACAGGGCGTCACAGCCAGGAAACTTACATCATGTAATCAGTTGGCGTAAAATCAAAAGAAAGAAAAAAGCCCAGCTGATAAGTAACTTCACTCTGCCCGGACACGCTAACATAAACAGTCCAAAGTCAACAAGGCAAGCTGTACATTTTAAATGAGGTGTTCATGGTGCTTCTTTTTATTAATCGCTTTTCAATCCAGCAAAGAGGGAGCGTAAATCAGCAAATCGATCCTAGCACTGGTCAACATTGAAGTCACGTGTGTCTGCTGCAGGTCTTAAGAGATTAATTGTGTATGTCAGCAGTTTAATGCAGGGATGGATTTAGAGCCCCCCCCCGGGCTGAGCCTATTTACTTAAATTTAGCAGGAAGTCAGAAGTCTCTTGGAAAAGGTTTTGACTCTGAGCTTCTACTGTTTTGGACCACAGCCTTCCGGGAGTTTGAAGGTAAAGGGACACATGACTGTCCATCCCCAGAAGAAGAAATGGCTGTGTACAGCAAAATGTTTCGTGTTAACATTTAGTAACACCCTGAAAGCATTAAAGAGGAAATCAGTGCTGTGTGAGAGAAGTGGGTTCATCTCTTGATGTTTTCAGCACAGCCTGGCCTAATGAGAGCTCTGTTTAGGACTATACTTTGTGAGAGAAGGGAGGTATTTACCTCGATCTCCTGCAGTTGTTCCTGGTTGTTGGAGTACATCTGCTTGAGCCCCTGCTCCAGCTCCCTGTTCCTCTCCAGAAGGGTCTTCCCCAGCTCGGCTGCCAGCTGCAGGTCTGCAGGAGACACGAAGAGAGGTGAAACTGCAAGTCCTTCAGCATTCATGGCTCTGTACTAATGGTGAAGGAGACCTGACAAGCAGCTTTCAGAGGTGCTGTTGGTGTTGGCAGCAATCCAGTAACACAAAGTGTCTCTTTAGAAACTCAATTAAGGAAAGGAATAAAGGCATGCACTTTTACATTTACAGGCGAAGCTCTTTTTCACTCTACATGGACAAAAACATGATAAAATCTGAAGGTGATTTTTGCACACACAGGAACACAAACCCACGGCCACTAGCGTAAAAGCAGCCCATGCAGGCAGAAAGGATGAATAAAGTCAGAGGCACATTCCGGCAGAGCGGTTCTGTTTTTGCCGCATATGTGAGTGTGCTGCTGACTCCTGGATTCTCTGGCACCCCAGGACTCGCAAAATTTCCACTAAATCAGACTTCAGACTAAAACCACCCCGACTTAAAACCCACAGAAATTGATGCAAATATTGCCCGTGCATATTTTTAAAATTACTTATAATGGCATTCATATATTAAACACCGCGCATCATTATCAGCTGTAACAGCCCTGTAATTCTCTGCCTGCAGGGTAAATAAAGACTAAGTGCGAATCTTTATCTTTAAGCACAGAGACACAAAGACTGAAAGGAAACTGTACCATGTTCAAGGTCTTGCTTGTCGTACCACGGTTCCTCCTCCTTTATCTCAAATTCTTCCTCCACAATCATGTCTGTAAGCATCCTCGGGATTTTATTTTAATTTATTTAATCAGTCAAACTCTTTAAAGATTTATCTACATTAAAAACATGAAACACTTTGAAAAAGGACTTTGATATACCAAGATAACCGGTTCAGTCAGCGTCCTCTCCCCCCCACAGCCGGCACCGGTGCGCGCTCATCATAGGACAGTCTTACTTCCAGCTCACCGCTCGTGAAATCGTCTGCGCGCGGGAACGCTTTCGGTTTTGTTTTTTCAGAATAAGGGTTGCACCACGACACCAGAAAAAGAAGACGACCGCGCATAAAGATTTAAAAATACAAATATGTTAAAGGAAGAAAGAAAGAACA